TCTAATGCATCATATCCTCTTTTCACTCAACATTCATGACTTCACTAGCATGACATCACACATAATCATTTCAATACCTGCTGCATAACATCATCTTACGTCAAGGTGACTTGCTATGCATCACGATCACTTCCTAAAATTCCCAAAATGTCTTTCTAAATGTACATGGAAACTTTTCATAGGAAATAGCACTACGCATTTACCACACGTTAGCTTGATCTCTATCGCTAACATTTTCTCATTACTTGACTTGATTCCTATCACGAGTAATTTGAGTACAACGACTTTTACAAAATTGTTAGTTTGATATTTATCTCTAACATCTTCTCATTGCTTGATGTGATTCCTATCACAAGCACTTTGAATACAATACCCCTTACAAAATCGTTAGCTTGATCTTTATCGCTAACGCTTTTCTCATTGTTCTATTTGATTTCTATCATAGATAACTTGAGCGCAATATCCTTCACAAAATCGTTAGTTTGATCTTTATCACCGACCTCTTTCTCATTGTTTGAATTGATTTCTATCCCAAACAATTTGAGTACAATATCATTTACAAAACTGATAGCTTGATATGTATCGCTAACATCTTTCTCATTGTTTGAATTGATTTCTATCACAACTAATTTGAGTACAATATACTTTACCAGATTGTTAGTTTGATCTTTATCACTAACATCTTTCTCATTGTTTGAATTGATATATATCACAAACAATTGAGTACAATATCTTTTCCCAACATAATTTCTACCAGAGACAACTTAAGTACATCGTTTTTGCAAAATGGTAAGCTTTATTTTATTGCTAGCACTTGTTCCAATGTTCATTTCAATTTCTATCGCAGACAACTTGATTATATCGTTGTTCCAAAATAGTTAGCTTGATTTTACCACTAACATGTTTCAAATTGATCGATTGGTTTCTATCACAAACAACTTGAGTATATGGTTGTTACCAAATGGTCAGTTTGATTTTATCCCTGCCATTTTCTTATACAATTCAGTTACCACCATCGTAGCAATTCGAATACGTCGTTATTACCAAGGATCAACTCAATTTCTACTTCTGACATTTTCACATTTTCAAAATGTGGTGCCTTTATAGAAACTTTGTATAACTCTTTATACAAAGAGATATACAAAGGGGGGGCAACTGTAGACACCACATTTTGTCCGGGTCAATCACTCTACTTTAAACTCAGAAAGGAAAAATCGAAGCGGAAGTTTGGACAAAATTGGTTAAGATTAGCCATCACTAACCAATAAGTACTAATGACTTCCAAGCTTGCTTTTATTTTCTACTATCAACTGGTTGAGATGGTTGAGCTTAGCAGTGGCTAGTTACTAACATCGATGACTACCAAGTCCACTTTTATCTGACTCTAATATTGATTGATTGAGACGAACTACGTGGACTTTGATCCCGTGTTACGGGTACGTAGGCAACCGACAAAAGGTTCGAGTCCAACTAATAAACTAATTAATTTTATCTTCAACTTTTACGTCAGTGGGCGTATAATTAAATTATAACTAATACGATTTAAATTCTTTAGTGGTCTAGTAAGGCCCTAAAAATGCCTAAAATACCTAATCATAAAATAATACGTCAATAGACGTTTAGCTAAATTATACCCAATGAGATAGCAATATAGTAATGGTCCATTGGGATTTTAAAAATACATAATTACTAAAATACACCCAACTCATGCAAAAACTTATAAACTTAAGTAGTACCGATTTAGGGCGTTGTGGGGGTGTTGCTTAACTTACCCACACGTAATCGTACTCCCGAACCCATATCTCTTAATCGCAGACCATGTCCCGGTTTTGACCCTAAGGTTAGAGCCGACCTAAGAGTGTTCGATCCATTCCAAGTAAGATCGATGGCGACTCCAAAAATGTCGATGCGACGACATCGGACCCCCAGAGGGACGGTTGCGACAATCATGGTTGTATGTAAACCATTAGCCATTGTTTATATAATTAATATAATTGTAAGGTGGTCATGGTTATATGTAAACCATGCTTATGAGGTTCACAAATGGAGAGGTAGTCTATTCCTGGGTTAATTCCCTAAATATTTTTTTTTTTAAATTTATCACGAATATAGTGTTTTGAAAAGTATTTACAAGAATATTGTGTTTTTTGATATGTTTAAAGCGCCGAAGCCTTAGACTCAGGCGCTGCCGCTGGATGCTTTTTTAACAAACAAAACACAGCGGCGCCGCCCCAAACTGGGGTTTTGTCGCTTTTAAGAAGGTAAAAGCGTCAGCGCCCCAGACTGGGGCTTTGTCGCTGCCATTTTGTTCCACTCCAGCACCACCCATCACCATATATACTGCACCTTTCCTTCGGTTCTTCATCACCAAAAAACTGAAAGAAGTTATGAAAGAAGCTCTGGTGTTGCTGTCTGGTTGCTGGGAAGATGGCTAATAATAGGTAAGAGTTGTATTTTTTTTTTTCATGTATTCATCATAATGATTTTGTCTAGTTAGTAATTAGTGAGTTTGTTTTTTGTGTAGTGATTTTAAAAGATTTGAACTAGCTGTTCGGTGGCGATCAGAGAAGTAGAAGACAATTTGGGTGTCCATTTTGTTGGTGGTCTAAGTTTCCAGATGACTATTCCATCCAGGGTGAACTATCAGAAACTTTGTGATCATCTAATTCGGAGAATACGGATTAGAGACGAAACAGTACAAGATAGTGTTGTGATTACAGGTTTCACCTACTGTCTTCCAGAATGGCAGAATGGTGTTTTATTTCATTATGCAATGCCTATTGTTGATGATGATAGCTTAAATGTGCTTTGGAATTTTATGGCACAAAATCCTTATTGTTTGGGTGCTGAGATACATGCTGAGATACATGCCATCCGATCATGATTATGATGACGGAGATGAGGAAGACGATGATGAGGAGGAGGACGACGACGACGACGGGGAGGGAGGAGAACAACCTAATTATCCTCCATATTTTTACTTGCAGGGTAATGAAGAGGACGAGGAATTATCATATGCTGATTCATATGGCGTAATTCCAGGGTCTACTGTTGGTGGTTTTGATGGAGAATTCTACAAGGGGCAAATATTTCACTCGAAACAAGCTGCACAGGTGGCGATGAAACACTATGCACTACAACGGAACTTTCAGTATAACGTGGTGGAGTCGTCACCTTCAATCTGGAAGATCAGATGTTTGATGCACAAGGAGGACAAATGTCCTTGGATGGTGCAGTTTGGATGTCGAGAAATGGGAGGCGATTGGAGCGTGAGAAAGGTCGAGTTGGTGCATACTTGTAGCAGTACGACTCAACCGACGGATCATTGCCATCTTGATGTCGACGTGATATCTGAGGCCGTCAAACACTTGGTACGTGCCCAACCAAATCTGAGTGTTCTAACTGTTCAGGCCGAGTTGAAAGATAAGTTTAATATGCAAGTTACTTACAAGAAGGCTTGGTATGGGAAACAAAGAGCATTGGAGAAGTTGCATGGAAATTGGGAAGAATCCTATGATTTTTTGCAAACATTCTTGCGGGTGGTCAAGAGAAAAATGCCAACATCGGTGATTTATTGGGTAAGAGTTCCTTCGACTCAACCAGGTCATTCAATATTTCAGCGAGTATTCTGGGCTTATGGACCTTGTGTAGATGGATTCAAGAATTGTCCAGGTGTTATGGTTGTTGATGGAACATTTCTTACTGGGAAGTATAAAGGAGTGCTACTCATGGTGAGCTCATTTGATGGACGGAAGAAGATTTTTCCAATTGCATTTGCCATAGTGGAGAGTGAGAATACTGATAGTTGGCCATGGTTCATAAGTCACGTTCAGGGTTTGACTGATCGAAATGATGTATGCATCATCTCAGATAGACATGCAGGACTCTATGAAGCCATGAATAACATCGGAAGAGGTTGGGAGTGGAGGTGGTGCACTCGTCAAACCATAGCTTGTACAAGTAGAACTGATCTCCATGCTGCGGGTGTGGGCCGGAAGCCACCGAAGGCCACGTGGCACTGCGTCCTAAGTAATCTGCTCACCCGTCACCGCATGTAGTGGTGATGTATGAGGAAACCGCTCCCACTTCCAGATCATCAGCAAGGCGGACCATCCACCAAAGTCACCACCTAGTGAAGAAGATGTCGTCATCTGCAGCGCCGATCTACCCATCTCACGGTACAAGTAGGATAACACAGCTGCTCCCCAAGCAAACCTCCCCGCTCTGCGCCAATCCTCCACCAAAAGTAGGTACTGCAGGTGAACTGAACCTCCAGACCGATCGGAGAACAAGACACCTCCCATCAGAGACAGCGCATACGCTCTAGCAAACTGCTCTGTCGTCTGGGGTGATGCAGAAAGCGGCAGCTCATCGAAAGTCTCCCTGAGCCAGGAAATCCGGATGACGCCGCCACCAAGATCAGTAGGAGCCTATCCTAACAGTCGAAGACACATACCCGACCAGTCCTCGTCTGGTATGTCTACTACGACGGCATCACCGTCGATCTCTAATCCGGTGAGTGTCGCAACGTCGTCTAGGGTGATCGTCACCTCACCCAACGGCATGTGAAATGTCGATGTCTCGGGTCGCCAACGCTCTACGAGCGCAGTAATCAAACCCAGATCACAGGTAAGAGGGGCTAGTGGCAGAACACTAGACAAGCCGGCATCAACGAGATACGGCAGGTACAGTGGATTGTATCGAACTAAATTGCCAGTATGACGAATGTGGAATGGTCGATCACCAGCCTATAATTAATGCACAAAACTATATTAATTCAATTCCTTCAATTCACCTAATATTTATATTTATATATCTAAACTAAACTTATTCTAATATAATATACTCGTAACTTAATCTAATTCTATTTCTAATTTAATTTAATTCCAATCGTAATTTAATTTAATTTAATTTAATTCTATTCTATTCTATTCTATTCTATCATATTATTCAGCTAATAAAACTATAGAAATAGTTTGAAAAAAACTTACCTCATTTGCTCAAACTGCGTCAATTCGATGATGACCATGCCCCCAAAGAAGTTCCGGATCCATCGGAGCAGTATCGATTGTCGCAGGTGGTGGTCTCATCGAACAAGGATCGATAAGCCTAGGAACTGGAAAAAAAATATATTAGAACATAAAAAAAAATGTCGCCGGGAAAAAAAAAAGTCGCCGCCGGCAAGAATCCGACACTCACTCCTGTAGCGTTCGTCGCCGTCGTCACCACCACCGCCTCGCCGCCCTCGGACTCTTCCTCTGCCGCCGGGGGCGTGCTGTTCGTCGTCGGACATTCCGCGTCGCCGCTGTTGCTGGGGCGCCTTCGCCTTGTTCCTCGCGCCGCCGCCTGGGTCTGAGGCGCTGCCTCCTTAATCTGGGCGTCGCCGCTCTATTTTTGGAGTCGGCACTGGGAGGGTGAAGGAGGTCGGGATGGAGGAGGATGAAGGAGGTCGGGATGGAGGATGTGGTCTGGTCTGGTGCGAGAGGGCGAGGAAGGGGATTAAAAAAACAAAGAAGCATAGCGTCGTCGCTAGCTTTACCCTTAAAAACTGTATTTTCTGAGTCTCGGGCGCCGTCGCCAACTTCCCTCCATCAAAACACAATATTCTTTTAAATACTTTTCAAAACACTATATTCGTGGTAAATTAAAAAAAAACAATATTTAAGGAATCAACCCTCTATTCCTCAATAACTTACATATACATAACCATCAATAACCCTTCACTTACCATTGCCATTCATAGAAGGCAATTAACTTTTCCCACAATCAATTTTCCAAAACTACTGATGAAACAAGTTGTAGTCTTCTTACTCACAAAAACACAACACTTCCACAATGGCCAAGTATAACCACTGCGGAAGATTGCAGTAAAGTGGGTTTAGTTTACTTTATTAACCCGGGTCCTAGGTATAATGTCCTAGGTATATTAACTCGGTCGAAATTGGTTGAAAGTGATTCTAAACTAGAACAGAAACAAAGCAAGCAAATTGATCGGTTTTTAAAGCAAGAGAAGAGTCACTCGGGTATGCGGCCCCTATCTCCTCAATCAGGCCTAAGTTGTAATTCTCTTTGGTTGTTTTACTGTTGATTAAACTGCGGATGTTCTGATAATAGCTTGGAATCTCTTAAGATGACCATACCCTCTTAGACACAACACCCGACAGGTGACTAACCTTCACCGAAACATAATGTTAAGGAAATTCAAACATATCTCCACTACTTGGAATAAATTCCAGTACAAAACAGCGAATTATTCGACTTTTGCACAAACAATTCCCTACTCTCAATCGAAGACGCTCTCTTAACCTAATCAGATTCTATCTATCACTGGTCAAAGCAAATATCAAGAGAATGTGATCAAGATTTAATTGACTCCACAAAACATGCTTCAATTGATTAAAACCAACCAGTATAACATCCAAAATTTATTACAAGCAAGATCTCTAACACATGGAACTATGGTTCTTCATACCAAGTGAAAAGTCGGTTTACTCCATAGAGATAGATAGAGAGAGAGAGAGAGAGAGAGAGAGAGAGAGGAAAGCCAAATACAATGCAATCATATCTGTCGCAATCGTCCCTCGGGTCGGGTCGTGTTCGCTTTTGGAGTTGGCATCGATCTTACTTGGAGTGGATCGAACACTCTTCGGTCGGCTCTAACCTTAGGGTTAAAAACGAGGCTTGGTTTGCAAATTAGAAATCAAGATTCGGGAGTACGGTTACGTGTGGGGAAATAAAATTACACACCACAACGCCCAAAATTGGTACTACTTAAATTGATAAGTTTATATGTGTTGGGTGTAGTCTAATAATTATGAATTCTTGGGTCCCACTAGACCATTTATACATTTTTACTTAAGTTATGATTTAATTGTACGTCCATTGTGGATATTTTAAAGATAAAATTGATTTGTTAGTTGGACTCGAACCTTATCGGTTGCCTACGTACCCGTGACACAAGATCAAAGTCCACGTAGTTTGTTTAATTATTTTTAATTATGACTTTTTATCACGTTCCACTGAATGCGACTCTCATTTTAAGGATTTTGTTAAGAAAATTGTATATAAATAGATACATATGGAGTTACGAAGCGAGTAACATATTGAATCTTACCCATGAAAGAGGAATAGAAAATCACTAAATTTACCTACTTAAGGATTCTTTGGTATAAAAATTCGTATGAAGAATGTTGAAAAACAGAAATAAAAAATGAGGGCACATTTGTTGAGCATATAATCCGAATTTCAATGGTTAGAAATCAGCTACAAATAGCTGCTAGGTCTTGTTCTTCGTCACTTTCTCTCTGTAGAACTCTGTTTTTGCTTTAAAAAGTAGAATCACCTTCCTTTGGCTCAAATCTTCCAATTTAAATCTGGGAAGGGGAAAAACACCGCGGTGTTTTTATGTAACACGATTGTGTTCTAATGACACACCGCTGTGTTTGTGTCTTGTTTAAGCCAGTGTTTTGCTCTTTGATTGCCAAATTCGCGACATAAAAAGCACCGACGACTGCAAGGTGAAACACAGTCGTGCTTTAGACAGGGGACGACGGTGTTTGCCTCCCGAGTTGCTAAACAATCTCGAAATGACCCAAAACTTGTGCGTAAGTCTCTTTCTACCAGCTAGGACATGAAATGTGACATTAAAGCACAACCTAGCATAAAATGGGCCAAGAAACAGTCACTCGTGCATAGGAATCAAGACATCAGAATCAAGACCGATCAATCTAGGTTCTCACCAAGATATGTAATTTGGAAAAAATGAATCACTCACTCTCTACCAGAGGGGTCAGGACAAAGTTTGATGCAAAATATGTGCATACTCATACTCTCAGTCACTATCGTCTATTCACCATGACAAAAGCCTCTAAATGTTAGAGTTCACATACCAGGTTTTACCACTAACTTGTGAGGAGGGCTTAACAGGGTTCAAATGCAACATGCTAGGGTCTAGGACATGGAGAACAAGATTTTCAGGTGGTGGTAACATTCATGACACAAGGTTCCACATTCCAAATCCAACACCGCAACATTCAATCAAACCAATTACTTTCCCTATGTTATTCTGCACTAGCCAAATCCTTTAGAGCACAAGAGTGAAGGAGGTGACAACATGTTAGTATTCCCAAGTCAGTCTACTAAGAAACACTATTGTCTATTTATGAGCATGATTAAAATTTTGTAGCACACTCTTTTGCTTGCATTTGTTTTCTTTTTTTTATCTTTTTTTTAGAGAACCACAACTCTTGCCCCATAATTTATCTTTTCAAGCGCATGCCCAAATTTTAAGAACCTCCTCTAACACTCACTTTATTTCCAGCAGAAAACATGAAAGAACCCCACTGTGGAACCTCTAAGAGAGGCATAAGAGTGATTTTTCATTGTAGACACAACGAAAGAAGGTTACACGGTACAAAGGGGATGACTAAGGGGTGTGACACAACAAGACAGTCAATTTGGCCATGGGCTACTCCTTTGCCTCAATCTTTCTAATTAGTGGCGACGTGAATACTACACATCATGGTAAGAGGGATCTATCACACAAGAAAGAAACGAACAAACTCAAATCTCACATGGCTACCTATATGCTCTATCTCTCATTTTGATGAGGAGGCGGCATTGCCATGCACGCCATGCACCGGAACAGCCACCTAGCCTATTTGTTTCGTTTTTTTTATTGTTCAAAGACCTTTGAGTACTTTTGTTTTTTTCATCTTTCCTTGTCAAAGTCGGTTAGGGTGTCTTGTTAAGTCTTATATATAGAGTTGTTCCTTGTTCGGAGAAGGCAGTTTTTTTGATTGAATAAAAGAAGAAAAGAGGGTTTCTCCTCGCAAAAGTCGACTCAGATATTCTCTTGAATCATCGAGACTCGATTTCTTATCCTTCCCCACGTACGTTGCATCGAATTGGTATCAGAGCACGGTCGATCCTGAGGGATGCCTCCCCATAGACAGGCGCGAGCCTACAACGCGGAGGACGCTGATTTCGCTGAGTTGCGACATGAAAACGTGGAGGTTTGCCGTGACAATGACGAACTGAGGCCCCATGTAGAAGTTCTGACTCAACGGATGGATTAGGTTGTCCAATTGCAGCGTTAGTATGATGACGTTACCATTGTTGACGAGAATCTGTTCGCTGACCCCCGCCACCGTTCACCCGAACGCCCTAACTGCAGGTGTGAGCAAGGATTTAGGGTGGAGGTTCCACAATTCGACGGCAGCCTGAAACCGGAAGAGTTCCTTGACTGGCTCTCCCAAGTAGAAGAGATTTTGGATTTTAAAGAAGTCCCTGATGACCGTCGTGTTCCACTAGTGATGATCCAATTGCACGGTTGTGCACAAGCGTGGTGGAAGCAGCTGAAGCACACCAGAACACGGCAGGGAAATGAGAAAATCTTGAGCTGGATCAAGTTTCGGAAACACCTGAGGGTGGCGTTCTTACCCTACAATTTTGATCGGGAGCTCTACCAGCGATTCCAAAACCTACGACAGGGGTGCCATTCCGTGGAAGAGTACTCGACTGAATTTTATTCTTGCTTGGCGCGCGTGGACATCAGCGAATCTCCTCTTTAGTTGGTTTCTCGTTATATCGCCAGTCTACGTCTTCAACTGCAGGACGTTATGAACATGTTCGATCCGGTAAGTGTGGCGGAAGCCCAACAACGAGCAGTCCAAGCCGAGAAGCAGCTAGCCCGTCGTGGCCTCAGCAACTTCAGGCCTCCAAGCAACATTCCTGGACCATCTCTGCCCCAAGTTCGGGATGGTACAACCCCTTCGCCATTGCGAAACACGCCAGTGAACACATAGGGGTGCATGGGCGGATTGCGTTGCTTCAACTGTGGGGAGACGGGTCATCGTCAAGCGGATTGTTGAAACCCGAAGGCCAACATACGCGGCCTGTTTACGGAGGGTGATTCGCTGGAGCTGGAATTCACTGGGGATGCACACCCAATCTATGACAACTACGAGGCGGCAACGAAGTACGCTTCGGTTGACGTGGGTTCCCTACTGGTGCTACGCCGGTCGTGCTTAACCCCACGTATCTCTAATCACGAGTGGCTACGCAATAACCTCTTCCATTCCACATGCACAATAGGAGGTAAAGTCTGCACCTTTATCATCGACGCTGGTATCGTGGTTTCAGAAGTGGCGGTCACAAAGTTAGGATTGGCAGATGAATCCCACCCCAAACCGTATCATCTTTCTTGGCTCAGTCAGGGGACGGATGTCTGTCTCTCAACACATGCTCGTGAACTTTTTAGTAGGTCCCACGTGTCGAGACACGGTCTATTGTGATGTTGTCCTCATGGATGCGTGCCACTTACTCCTCGGTCGGCCGTGGCAATACGACAATTCGGTTCTTCATGACGGGCGAGCCAATACTTACACGTTTCTCTTTCGGGGAACGAAGATTGTCTTAATGCCAGCGAGGCCTAAGGGTGGACTGACCCCGCAACGTCCAACCCTCCAACCGTCGACGACCCTACTAGCCAGAGGCCCATTCCAAGCGGCCATGCGAGAGTCAGGCTTGGTGCTTGTTGTTTGTTGCTTGTTGCTCCCTCCTTTCGAATACTGACCCGCACCCCGTGCTTGTTTCTGTTCAACAACTGTTGCAGGAATTCGCTGATGTTTTCCCGGAGAACCTGCCGAATGAATTGCCGCCACTAT